TCTGGTCACTGAGCCCTCATCCTGATCACTGAGCCCTGGTCCTGGTCACTGAGCCCTGGTTTTGGTCACTGAGCCTGGGCCTGGTCACTGAGCCTGGGCCTGGTCACTCTGCCCTGGTCCTGGTCCCTGAGCCTGGTCCTGGTCACTAATTCCAATTCCTGGTCACTTACCCTGCTCCTGGTCACTCTGCCCTGATCCTGTCACTAATCCCAATTCTGGGTCACTGAGCCCTGGGCCTAAAAACCGAGTCCTAGTGTTCATTACATGGTCAGGTCCTGAGTTAGTGGCCATTTATTCTGAGTTGGAGCCCTTGTTCATGGCCTGCATCACACTTAGATCCTGAGTTCTATTCCCATGCTTTGGGTTCTTAGTCCTGACCCTCATCAGAGTGCCTGCATGGTAGAGAGGGAGCCTCCCAGGTGATCCAAGACCCTCTTGGTCTGGGCACTAGATGGAGGGCGAGGTGATGACCCCATGTCTGGCCTCATCTTTTCCAGGGCCCAGATGGCATGAGGCAGAGCCCCCGTCCACGAGGGTCCCCGATACAGGGGAAGGGAGGAGGCGATGGTGTTTGTGTTCTCTTGTTTTTCTCTTTCTTCTCAGGCTTCACCTGCTGAACACCCAAAATAGTCCTAGGGGAGGCTGAGTCATTGTGAGTGCGGCCCAGCCCAGGTGTCCCAGCCAGAGACTGCTATTCTGAGAATCAGGCCCGAAAACAGAGATCTGGCCAGATGGCCCTGGGGCCCGGGGCCTGGGCAAGGGTCTGGAGGCTGTGGTGGCAGAGAAGTCCCCAAGACCTGCAGAACACTCCAGCCCCCACCACACGTGGGCCCGCATCAGGCCAGGATCAGTCAGGGTCTATCCAAGGTCAGCTGGGATCACCTTGGACAGCCAATGTCAGTCTAGGATCAGCCAGGATCAGCCAGGGTCAAACAGGGTCAGCCCGGGGTCAGCCTAGGTGTTGGCAGGATCTGCACAGGTTCTTCTGACATCCACAGGTCAGTAGGGCTCTCACTGACCACAGGACTCAGCGGCATGCAGCCTCTAAGGCTTCTGAGGGTTGGGCCCACAAAACAGCCAGGCCAGGTGGGACCCTGGCCTTAGAGTCTGACATTGACCTCTGCTGGCCCTGCACCCACACACCCCTCCCTCTGTCGTGCTTCCTCTGTGTTAGACCCCACAGGCAGCGATAGACTGTGGGCACAGCCCCGGGACTCCAGCAGGCATCCCCCTGGGCTGTGGACCAGGACAGGTACATTCCACAGGGCTCACGGCAGGACCCATATCCCACACCGGGGGACACTGAGGGTCCAGGAAGGGCAGACCACACCAGGGTCAGTGAGAGAGACAGAGAGAGAGACAAAGACAAGAGGGGAGAGAGACAGACAGGGGGAGGTGAAGACAATGGACAGGAGAAAGGAACAGAGAGAGCTGCAGAGAGAAGGTCAAGGCAAAGACACAGAGACGGGGCAGGACACGGGGCAGGCGCTGGAGACAAGCCCCTCACACATGCACCTGCACACCCATGCACACTCACACACTCCTGCCTCCCTACACACGCACTCAGGGACGTGCCCATGAACGCACACTGACCTCCTCGGTCTCCAGCTCACACACTCACTCGTGTCCAGA